AAAAAGCCATTTCAGCAATAAAATCCAACAAGAAAATAGAGCCGACTACAATATACGTGAAGTCTGGAATGTATCCATTTGTAATAACTCACTGGCCATCGACAAATGGAGTGCACCAAACATATCCGAATCTGCACGATTGACCATTACGAAATATCCCAATGAAGAACCTCCAATATTTATCGGTGGAGTGAAAATCCCAATAATGTCCTTTAGGAATTTAGACTCCACAAAAGACAAAATTCAGTACGATAAAATACAGAATGCGATGCGAAAGAAAATCAAAGTCTGTGAACTCTCCAATTTGTACTCCAAAATTGAATTGGGAACATTCAACACTTCGAATAATCCAGAGATATTCGTCAAAGAAAAACGGTACCACCCAGCTCGATACCCCAACTGGGAATATACAAACACTTCAACAGTAACAGACAGAATTTACATCTTAAAGAAAGAAGCTGCCACTGACACACCAGTGTCTCCTGATGTCTCCGGTTTCTATATTCTTCAAAAAGAAGTGATTTGTGGTAACCGAAGTGTATACAAAAGTGAGAAGAGTTACTCCGGGAAGAGATATTACCTCTACAAGAACGACTCAAACTACTGGAGTTTATCTTCTCGTTTTGACTGTGGTGTCCCGACACAAAGTGACGGGGCGTATTGGGCAATGAAGAGAACGAACATGGCCGGATCACTTAACCCGGTTGATTCATCTGGAGCTAAAGGGAAGTACTCGTTACAAGAGAGTAATGCTATCTTTAGAGGAAATGTGTGGATAGCATACGTCCCTGAGCAAAATGGAACGACTTTTTATTACTCTGACGATCATTTGGATCAATACGAAAGTTATGACAGTGTCTGGATACGAGCAAAATGGCTCATCTTTTCACAAGAACAGAGCGCGAAAGGGAAAATCAAGAAGAGCGACAAATCAATCACTTTAGATAGACCACTGGGCGGGGGCGATTATTATGGCATGAAAAGTGGACAGCCGTTTTATATTTATAATTTGATAGAAGAACTTGACGAAGAAGGAGAATACTATATAGACTACGATGAAAAGAAGTTATATATTATTATGCCAGACAACGCAGATGATATCTGGATATCACAGAGCTTGAGCCCGATCTTTAGAATTCAATTTATAAATGGTGTTAGTCTTGAGAACTTAATATTTGAATATTCGATTGAGGACTTTGTGGACTTCTGGGCAGTCAATCATTGTTCCGTCTTAAATTGCACTTTTAGACACGGCGGAAAGAGGGGAGTATATATATATGGAACTGTCAATAATAACATAACGAGAAATGTTATATATGACACAGGGGCACAATCTGCAACACTGAAATGTGGAAACATCTCTCAATTAGTACGAGGAGAGTGTCACTTAGATCACAATTATGCAAACACTTCTTCTCAATTACAATTCACTTTTGTTCCGGCATTTTCGATCGAAGGCTGTGGAAATTACATGAAACACAATTTAGTGGAAAATGTCCCACATGTTGGATATGTCTATGGCGGCCCAGAACTTGAAATTTCATACAATGAAGCTATTAATATCTGCAATAGTGCTTCAGACTGTGGCGCGTTATACACTGGCGCACATTTTGAGTATCGAGGAGGTTCTATTAAATACAATTTCTTCCATGACTCTAAAGGCTTTGGGCAACCTGGTGGGGGGTCTTATGTGATTGGTATTTACATCGACGATAATATGAGTGGCCAAGAGATCTTTGGAAATGTTGTCGCCAATTTTGTTGGGAATGGCATTCACCACGGCGGAGGAAGAGAAAACAATATTTATAATAACATATTTTATCACTGCACATATGGGTATCACGGGGATGCTCGTGGGCCTTATAGATATCACTATGAAGCGGGTATGCCATATAATTTACTTGAAAATATCGAGAAAAATGGAGTTGATAGATATAACCCGCCTTGGAGTACCAAATACCCCTCATTAAGCAGACTCCCTAAAACTAATGAAGAGTTGAAGAAGCCGGAAAATCAACACTGGATTATGCCAGAAGAGTGTGATATTTGGTGTAATGTGATGTATGCATCAACTAAACAGGACGCTGGATATCAAGATGGAGTTGAAAATTATATCAGAAGATGGGAATGGAACACTAATTCGAGCCAAGACCCAATGTTCTTTGACGCATTTAATTTGGACTTCAGAATGAGAGAAAATGGGGAAATTTATAAGTATAATTGTTGGAAGGAAATACCTTATGAAAATATCGGGATTAACAAAGAAGATGGATGCAATGAAGTTATAAAGCATCTAATTATTATTGTCGTGGTACTCGTTTTAAGCTTCTGAGTCTTTTGTGTGATTATTTTAATAATTGAACTCTTTGAATATTTAAGTTTAATTCGTTAATTGATTAATAGTATTATAATTTATAAAAGAAAGTTGATTTATTTTATTTCGTTTATTCACTTGTTTCAAATATTATACAAACTATTTTGCATTGTTTTTATTGGAATATTAAGATGATATAATTTACAACAAACAACTACAGTTAAAAGCGTCTATTTGTCGTGAATCCGGCAGAAAAACGTATTTATTTGTTGTAAATAAGTCATTTTTATGAAATATTTAATATTGAAATTTATTTTTTTTAAAAAATTTGGTTTTTAATTCAGCAAAAGATACAGATTCGAGAAAAAAAATAATTGTCGTACACACAAATGATTGGCCATTGTGCAATTACGATTAAGATTAAGATAAATAGAAGCCTTTAACTGTTTAATATAACATTTAATATAAAAAAAGAACTTTTTAAAACAATTAATAAATTAATGGAAAAGAACAACAAAAATGATAACAGGAATAAAGAAGTTGCTCCTTTTATCACAGTTTTGTATGAACTTGTCAATGACCGCAGTGCACAAGATGATGTTTGTTTTTATTTTACAAAGGAAATAATTAAACAACAATTGATATTATTATTATAAAATTTTAATTAATTATTAGATTTGTTGGTCAACAGACTCAACACACCCCGGTTTTGTAGTGTTAAATCCAATCAGACTTTCAAAAGAATTTCTTCCAAAGTATCTTAGACACTCCAATTACGCGGCGTTTGTAAAACAGATGGAGGTTTATGGGTTTCAACAGGTCGAACACCCACTTGGACTGTGTTATATGCACCCGGATTTCAAAAAAGGTCATAAGGAGTTGCTATATAAAATTCACAAAAATTTAATTAACAATTAAAATTTTTATTTTACATTTAGGGGTTTGAATAACTTAAATATTAAAATACAATCATCAGTAATTAATTGAAGCTTCTAGACGATAGAATTAAGTTGAGGTTTAAAGAAATTTTTAATTTTTTTTGTATTTTGTAAAAATAGAATTATCTAAATTATACTTTATAGTTATAATGTCATATCATTGATGATTTAAAAAAATTGTAATTTAAAAAATAACATAAATTGTCATTTTATTGAACAAACAAATACAATCAATTTCGTCTGTTTGTCAGAAACCCAACAGAGAAGCATATTTTTGCGAATAAAAGAATTGTAATGAACGTTCGTTCAATTACAACTAATAAATATGTTTATTATTAAAAAGAAAAATTTCAACTGTAGTGAAAAGTTTAAAAAAATGAAAACTATAATTCGTGTTTTTGGACTTATTTAGTATCATCAAATCGTATTCAATAACCTTAATAATCAAATTGGTTAATATGTTGATTTAATTAATAATGGAAACATTAATCGTAATAAATTTTGTTTGTTCGATATTTATTCATTCAACTGTACTGTTTAATAATTGGGTGATATTTACAATTGATTTTTTTATTAATCTTTAAATTTAGAAAAGTGGTTTTAAAAACAATTGCTGTATACATGTGAACATACTCCGTAGCTTTTGCATTTTTTAAAAACCCAGTCTTTTTTCAAGCAATTTTGCCCAAAAGTGCATTTCCCTTTACCAACTTATTTTTCTCAAAGTAAATAATCTAAAATTGGAGGTGTTTTTGTAAAATAATAAATGTTACGAAGAAATAATATAAATCTTTCACTTTTTGGTTATTGTTTTGTTCAAAATGCCGAATGTAAAAATAAAACCTTTAAAGAAAATAAAAAACTATTTATATTTTTTTAGATGATAAGTTTGTTATTAAAATAACATTATAAAAATATTAAACATATTTGCAACAACAAAAAACAAGAAGTTTAATGTGTATAACTTATTTTTTAATTAAATAATAATTGAAACATAATAAATATTGAACAAAAATAAATCATGTTTTTTCATGTAATTAAGTTGACCAAAAGACAATGTGATTGTTGATTAACTTATTTTCAAATGAAAGAACAGAAATATAGCATAAGATGATATTTAAATGATAAAGTGGTAAATAGAAAGCAGTCCACAAAAGAAATATAATAAAACAAATAAATAAATAAAAAGTGAAATATCAATAGACAATTAAACATATAATCAACATTGAAGTGTTAAATTTATACATTTAGTATATTCTTAATGTGGATAATACAGTTAAGAGTGGTAATATAATAAATTATAATAAGTATAGATTGAAGAAGAATCAGATATTATAGAGTATTCATTGAATAAGTATTTTTTTCAACAACAAAATTATTGAAAAAGGATAGTGTTGATAATTTATAAAAGTCCACCATCATAATTTTGAGATAATTTTATCAGAAACCTTCAAAATACTCAATAAAAATAACAGGATTTAGATCTATGTTTTAAATAAACATAAAACATTAAGAAATTTATTAAAGTGGTTGGAGTATTTATGATTGTTTGTAAATAAAGTGTTATGGTTTTATTATTATAAACGTTATTTTGACATTAAGTTTATCTATTCAAATCAATAGCATTTGATCTAAACTCATAAACAATATACACATATAAAATTATCAATTCAAATTATTCATTAAACTGATAAAGACTAGTCTTTAAAATCAAGTTTATCAATTTATGTATAAAAAACGAGATTTTTCAAATAATTAATGATAATTGTGAACAGAAAACAGCAACATTCATGTAATTTAAAATGGCGAGTAAAATAGACAAAAATAAAAAGTCAAAGAATTTGGTTTGTTTATAGATAATTATTTGGAAAAATACATAATAGTTGAATTGAATATAATACAAATTTAATATAGTTAAAGTTTACATAATACACACATCTTGTTTATATTATTTATAATGTTGCTTATGTTCTTATTCTGTTTTAAAACAATTTTAATTTGAATGATAAATAATTGTACAGAGAAAACAAATTGATTTTGTAAAAATCAATTAATAAAATGTTTTCACATAATTATCACAATTGCTATACTTTTTTTGTTTTCTTGTATTTCGGTAATTTCAATGAAGTTAAAGATTAAACTTTTCAAAACCAATTGATTGTTACCGTTTAAACACAGTAAGTACACGAATCATGGAAGAGCATTTGTTTAACAAAAAAATACACAAAAACTTTGTGATTGTTGATTCATATGTTTTTTCAAATAAGAGAACAAAAGGAAAGCATAAAAAGTTAATTAAATGATAAAGTGGTTAATTTAAAGTTGTCCACAAAAGAAATTAGAAAATGAATAAACAAAAAGTAGAAATATATGATTAATAAAACATAAAAATGTCAAAAGTGTTATTTTTCGAAACATGTTACTCTCATTAAAATTATAATGAACATTGAATTTAATATTTGATTATAATTTGAAGAAGTATTTGTAATAGTATCAACCATCAAAATGTAATCATATTGCGACTTTTTTTTCTACAATGTTTTTAAATAAGTATAAAGTGTTTTGTTTTAAATAGTTACCTAAAGTATTGTTCGAAACAAAATAATTAAAGAAATGCAATAATATAATGAATTAAAAGTTCCCGAATCTCCATCAATAATAAAATAAACACAATGTAAATAACAGAGAAGGTATCAGTGAATACAATAAATATTGTGAATTTAATGTTGGAACAATAATTGTTATAAACTTCAATATAATGATAAGATTACCTTTTCACATTTTTTGAATAAAACACAACAAAATTAATTAATTAATTGTTCAAGTTAATTCAATTATTACTTTGATAAAAATTATGCTCGACAAGTAATTTTGTTAATTGCGCACCAACAAATAATGATTAGTGTAACTTATAAACAGCAATTTTAAAACACTCAACAAAGTACGTAAAACAAAAATAATTAACCAATAAAAAATATGATTTTGTTAATTGATTTTTTAATAAACTTTTTTGAAATAAAAAAAGATATCGTCTTAAAAACATTTCAATTTAAAGGAATTTTTCAATAAAGTAATAGACAAAACACCATGTTTGTATTTCATATTGTTGTGTGTGTGTTTTAGTATGTTTATTGATAAGTTCAAATTTAAAAATTGTTTAACCAGTCGAAAGTGTTTTTATTAATGTTGTAAAACCCGACTATAAATCAAAAGTTCAACATAAATTATTACAATTATAATACAACTTCTTCAACGACTTTTATAGTAATAACAATGATGAAGAGAACCAAATAG